TGGAAGAGGAAGGGGGGGGAGGGCGCGGAGGAATAGCTGCACGCCCAAGGGACGGGGGTCAGTGCAAACGGGGGTCAGTGTTAGCGCCAGGTCATGCAGGATCCTGCAGGGCCAGGGGCCCACTGACCCAGGCTCGGGCGCAGGATCCTGCAGGATCTTGCAGGATCCTGCAAGGCCCGACTGGCCTGGATCTAGATTGACCAGGGTCAATGGATCCCCTACAGGGTATCGCTCGATACCAAGGCCAACCCTCCCCCCCACCCCCTCTGGGTAACGCTAACGATCGTGCTGAGGGAGGGGGCCCGAGACCCCCCCCTACATGCTGTGGTGCACACAGGCGATTGATGCGCTGGTGGCACGGACGCACCCTGGCGGGTGCACGCCGCGGCCGCCGTTACCGTTGCCCTCCCGACCGACCCCCCCCCCCACTCCCCCGGGGAACGATCGTTACCCGGGAAAGAAACAAAAACGGTCACACGGGCGGGAGGCGCCAAATCAGTTAAAATTGGACCCGATCGATCCGATTCGATGTCGGTCGGTTTGGGCTGGCCCGATCCGATTCGATTCCGATGCACCGAGGGTTCTGATGAGGCCCGAGGCTTGCATGGCGCTGTGGTGCAGCCTGGCGCAGCCGATCCGATCCGATTCGGACTCCGTGCCGATGCAGCCCGATAAGATGCACATCTCGATTCGGCCCGACTTATCGATTCGATGTTGAGTGGTCTTGCCAAGCCCAGATGTTCGACAATTTAGTTTGTTCCATCTTGGTGGTTTTCTTCGATTTCGGCTTCCAGGGCCTGCGATCGGGCCCTGAAGACATGAAACACGGATCAGGGGGACAACACAAGAAAGATACCGCCAGGAAGGGGTCGGGACCTCTGGGGCCGCTGGCTGAAACAATCATACGGCGGGGACGTTCGTGAAGGAATGTGCCCTAGAGGCTTCAGACCCTGGAGGGTTTCTTTTCTAGTGACGGCGGCGGTGCTATCCATGGCCTGAGCCGGTGTTCCACCGGCTTCCCGACCCTGGATGCCTTATCCAATAGTTTTTTCTCCAATGCCCTCGGCGTAGCGGAGGGTGTCTGGGAAGCGGGTCGGCCCCGGGGACGCCCGCTGGGGGCAGGCGGAGCACCACGGCTTCGGCGCCCGTCCCGTCCTGCTGACCCTTCGTGCCATCAGGTCCGTGCTCTGCGGCAAAACGAGCGACGGGCATGTTGGCCTCATTTCGGGGCCACGGGCCTTGTCGGATTGGCCCGCGGCTCTGAGGAGTCGCTCTGGGGTTGTCTTCGGTCCCAGAAAGTACGTTCCCACCTTGGGGAAATTAGAGGTATGAGGTTGAGCGGAAGTTCCAGCGTGGCTAAGAACACAACGTCTCGATGTATTGGAACGGTCGCCCTTCCCAAATCGTATCCTCAAAATTGCACCGATTGGAAGATATGTAATGCGGGCACCCGAGGGGTTCCAGTTCCTTCTTGTCTCCCCCCATGTTCTTTGCTCCTCCTTCGCCTTTGCCCCCAGACCCTCGTCGCCCCTCCCTCTACACGCCCTCCTCCCTGGGGGAGGGGGAGAAGGAGAGCGCCGAGGGAGGCGGTGCGCTGGCCCATCCTGCAAGCGTTCGTGAACTGCGGATGCTGCGTCGACCGCGCGCGGGACTTCGGTTTCAAAGTGAACGCGGAGAACGCACGAGTAGGCCTTCCAACGAACCGAAAGTAAGGAAAGGGCGAACCTCGGGGCATTGGCAACGAAGGCGCAGGAGCAGGGGATAGCACGAAGTGTTGCGGATTGCACAGGCGACGACCAGTGTCACCATTGTTGTGGCTTGACCACTAAATTTCGCCGCCGTGATACTTGAGTCGTGAATTTAATTGGTTTTAGGGTTTTAACAAATGGTCGCAGCCACGCAGAGGGCGTGCGTAGCGACGCCCCAAATGCTCGGTCTCCAGTACTTCTACGTGGCGGCGCCCCCGCAGGCACGCAGAGGGCACGCGTGGCGACGGGGGCGTCGCCACGCAGAGCTTCTAAAGACCAAACATTTTGAATACCAATTGTTTCCACTACTAAAGTATTTCATTTCTGTGTGGCCACTCGTTTCCGTCGGTGTGACCACTCTTCTCCTCCTACGCCCGCCCCTGTCCGGCAGAGAACGCGCTGCGCCCGATCCCTTCTCCGGTCTGAGGGCCAGGGCAGCGCGGCCGAAACTGAAGGTCTCGCATGGGACACGTTCGCATGCAGTGGGGGCCCATGCCAAGAAACACCCTGCTTGCCTCCAGTGTGCCCTGGGTTTCTTGTGTTTCGATGGTTTTGCCATGGAGAGCGGACGCTCCCACAGCAAAAATCAATGGACGTCCTGAGTTCTCAGAGTTGGGTTTCTTGTGGAAGGTTTCTTGTGGACGGGCCTCCACTGTAACGCTCATGACTCCAGAGTTCAGATCAATCCCGAGTGGTGTAGAGTTCCCGAGTGATGTAAAAAACTCGGCCCCAAGTCATACATACAGTCGGGGCGCTGAAGAATGAACCCTTCTCGTTGGGGAGGGGCTCGGTGCTCCTTGATTGTTTCACAGTTTGCCTCAGGCTCTCATTAGGCTCTCGAATGCAAGCCGAAGCTGAACTCGTGGGAAAAGGGGCCTCGTTCCTTATCTAGGGTTCCTTGGGTCAACGCCCCGACTGTAACTCAGGAAATCTGTACCACTCCTCGCCAGCGAGGAGGAGGAGGAGGAGGAGGAGGAGGAGGAGGAGGAGGGGAGGAGGAGGAGGATGACGGAGGAGGAGGAGGAGGAGGAGGAGGAGGAGGAAGAGGAGGAGGAGGAGAAGGGGGAGGAGGGGGAGGGGGAGGAGGAGGAGGAGGAGGAGGAGGAGGAGGAGGAGGAGGAGGAGGAGGAGGAGGAGGAGGAGGAGGAGGAGGAGGAGGGGAGGAGGGGGAGGAGGAGGAGGAGGAGGAGGAGGAGGAGGAGGGGGAGGAGGAGGAGGAGGAGGAGGAGGAGGAGGAGGAGGAGGAGGAGGAGGAGGAGGGTCCTGTTTTCCCTGGGCACCTTGCCCTGCCTCCTGCCTCCTTCCTCCTTCCACCTTTCCTTCCTTTCCTTCATTTCCTTCCTCCTTCCTCCTTCCTCTTCCTCCTTCTCTTACTCTCGCATGCCCACAGCAGCAGGCTTCGCGACGCGCCCTCGCCGCGAGTCCCACCACCACCGTCTGGCCCTCCTGGGGGGCCCCGCCAGACCTCCCCCGCCGAACCTGGACAGTCCCGGCTGTCGGTCGATGGGGGGGGGGGGGGCCGCTGGGGATGGCCAGGGAAGGGGGCGGCGGCGCGGGCGAGCAGGCAGGGCCGGCAAGGAGGGCGAAGAGGCGGGGGAGGAAGTGGAGGGGATTGAGAACGCAGGCCCGACCAGCAACGTCGCGCGCCATTTGAACGACCGCTTTGGCCGCGGTGGCCACGCGGCGGGCGCAATGCGCAGCCGCGCGTCAACTCTGACGGCCGAGTCCGTGCCACCCTTGCACCGAACTTTCAGTCGGCGGGATAACGCGATCTGCTCCTCGCGTGGAAAGAGAAAACTTGGATTCATTTTTAAGTTTGATCGAAAAAGCGGGCGACGCAACGGGCGTTTGGGTCGCCTTGAGGGAATTGGGAAGAGAGGTTTTCCGCTGGGAGCTTGGGTCGAGCAGTTCACGGTTTCGTGATTTTGCCTTGGTCGGGGTCGGGATTCGTGTGCCGAGTTTTGCTTCGAGGGTTTGATGCCTTAGATTCAGGCAAGTTTACTTCCATTGAATGTCGCCCCCCCTTTCCTCATTTCCCCCGCCGTCTCAAACAGCGCTGAGCCAGAAAGGCACGCGAAGTTTAGATTTCCTGTTGGGTCCTGCTACGCCTCCACCCCGTCCCTCTTCCACGCGAGTAAACTAGCCGGAGCCTGAAGAAACATTGCTCCGTCCTCTTCCGTCACATGTTCGTTTTTGGGGCGAGGGTTCTTCCGGCACGGTTGCGATGCAGATGCCTTTTTTTCCTGGGCACTTCGGTCGCGTGCCCATTTGCTGTGGGGCTGCTTGGGCGCATGAGGCATGAACTTACCAGCCTCGAACGTATCCCTATCCCTAGGATTGACACGCCAAAAGGCGGTGACAATCTTAGGGATTCGCCCTCAAAACATAAGGGGACCCCTAAGATTGGCATCGTGATGAGGGGGTGCCCAGCATAGGGATAGGGATATGTTCCAGGCTGGTAATGAACCCGGTCTTTCTGGCCAGCAGCGGAAAAAGCGAAAGTGCAGACTGGTATGTCGTGGTGAGTTTCGTAGGCGTACGCTGCGGGAGCGTTCGCAACACGAGGCTGGCCTCGCGGACTGGGGGCCGCATATTCATGCACGCGGCTGGGCGCCCACGCATGTGGGTGGGTTCCTTAGCGGGGCGCGTCGGTCATTGCGGACAGAGGAGGCTCTGGAAGAGCGAAAGGCCTTGGCATCGCTCGGACGTGTGCATTTTTCCTTCGGCGAGGACCGTCGAGGAGCATCCTTGATCATTTGGCGAAAAAAACACGCACGAAACCGAAAAAAACACAGGGAATGGACGTCCGAGCGATGGCCGGTGTGGTGGGTTCCTTTACTGGGTGCGTGGGTAATTGCGGACAGGGGAGGCTCTGGAAGAGCGAAAGGCAGGTACGCAAGAAAAGATGGACGCAGATAGGGTTGGCGGCCGCCATACGTGGCCCGTTGATTCAGCTGTCGCAGGCAATTCGGGCAGCCGCTCCAGGCACGACGTCTGACGGATTACCTCAGCAATCGGCTACGCCACCAGGCCCATCCCTCCAGCCGATGCGGTAAGCCACCTGCCCCAGGCGCACTCAAGCAGCGCAAGACTCTGAAACCGCACGGGGCACGAGTGACGAAAGGGCAAGGTGATTGCAGTGCCATTGTTCCCGCCCGCCGCCGCTCACAGCCTAATTCGCGACGCTGGGCTCGCTTGCTTGGACTGCCCACTGTTATCCTGAGGCGAGAAGCTGTAACAGTACATGAGCCCATGGCGGACCTCCGGCCTGGGATCTACGCGGCCCGTACTTGTGAGGGTCACCATTTGCCGCCGCCGCTTCAGCATCGGACAAGAGTGCAGGCACGGTCGTGTCCAGAGAGGTGAGTAGGATTTCCCCCATCAGATCTCCATTGCATCCATTTGATCATTCGCCAACCACAGGCAGGCAAAGACGTGCAGGAATATTGGAATACGTGGGTCGGGGGGCAATCTACTAAAACAGATCGCCTTCAGCTGGTGTGTTTTCTCGTGAGCGTTGCTAGAAAGAGGACTCCAATCGTTTCAGCGGCTTCAGTCAAACCTGGCAGTTGCAACCAGTTATGTGAGCTACTGCCAACGCCGCTGTCATTGGCCCGTTTGAGGTTGCTGATGTCATCGCTTGTGATTGACAGTGTCGCTGCACCTGGAGGTTAGAGGTCGCAGTGTCTGACTCTTAAACATACAGGTGATTGTGCGTTTCACGTTCCACGTTTCCTGCTTTTGCTAGTCCTCGCAACCTCATTCTGGCTGCCAATACTGGTGATGGTTTTTCCGTTGCCCTTGCTGATTTCATGTCGCTCTATCGTCTGCAATGGCCAGTGCTACAACTGTTACGACGAACCCTGCATACAACATTGCCCCACGAGGGAGGTGAGAGATTTGGGTGGTAGTTTCAAACGGGTTTGCGAGGAAATGCGGGATGTAGTTTTTGTCGGGTGGGTGAAGATCAGAGTGAGGGGGCTGAACCGAACGGTCATTCACTGTCCTTGGGTGCGTGGCTGAAGTGGAATTCCGCGATGCGGATTCTTGTTGTTGTCGTTGTTGTTGTTATTGTTATTGTTGAACTCTCACTTCTGAAGAATAATTATTGTTGATCCCCCCCCCCCCCGTCCGGTGCACATTGTTTTTTTCGGTTGAAGTACCCCTCCCAGGGCTCGCACCCAGTTTTTCCCAACCATCCCGTGGTGTTTGGTCCTCGTTTTGAAGAGACGGTCCCCCCGTTCCTCCTCCTTCCTCCTCCCTCCTCCCCTCCTCTCATCATCATCATCAGCATCAGCATCATCGTCATCATCAGCATCAGCATCAGCATCAGCATCAGCGTCAGCATCAGCATCATCATCATCATCATCATCACCATCATCATCATCATCATCATCATCATCATCATCATCATCATCATAATCATCATCATTGCGCCCCCGCCATTCATTCCGGTCCACTTCTCACACGCTTCGTGGCCCCATAGGGACTCCGCCGAAGGTCCCAGTGGCACAGTCCGCATGCGTCCCCGCCAATCATTTCGGCACACCCCTCACACGTTTCGTGGCACCATAGGAGCTCCGCCGAAGGTCCCAGTGGCACAGTCCGCATGCGTCCCCGCCACTCATGTCGGCCCATTCCTCACACGTTTCGTGGCGATATAAGAGCTCCGCCGAAGGTCCCAGTGGCACAGTCCGCATGCGTCCCCGCCACTCATTTCGGCACACCCCTGACACGTTTCCTGGCACCAGAGGAGCTCCGCCGACGGTCCCAGTGGCACAGTCCCCATGCGTCCCCGCCATTCATTTCGGCCCAGGTCTCACACGTTTCGTGGCGATATAAGAGCTCCGCCGAAGGTCCCAGTGGCACAGTCCGCATGCGTCCCCGCCATTCATGTCGGCAGACCCCTCACACGTTTCGTGGCACCATAGGAGCTCCGCCGACGGTCCCAGTGGCACAGTCCGCATGCGTCCCCGCCATTCATGGCGGCACACCCCTCACACGTTTCGTGGCACCATAGGAGCTCCGCCGAAGGTCCCAGGGGCACAGTCCGCACGCGTCCCCGCCACTCATTTCGGCACACCCCTTACACGCTTTGTGGCACCATAGGAGCTCCGCCGAAGGTCCCAGTGGCACAGTCCGCATGCGTCCCCGCCACTCATTTCACCCCTCACGCGCTTCGTGGCCCCATCGGAGCTCCGCCGAAGGTGCCCGTGGCACAGTCCGCATGCGTCCCCGCCATTCATTTCGGCACACACCCCACACGTTTCGCGGCCCCATGGGAGTTCCGCCGAAGGTCTCATAGGAGCCCCAAGGAGGACGACGACTGGTGGCTGGAGCTCTACGCGCTGCTCTCGCGCGCCACGCGCCACGAGGACCTCCTGCTCATGCGGGCGCCGCGCATCGAGTTCTTCCTGGCAGGGCCGCCGGAGGGCTTGCGGAAGCAGCTGGAGCAGTTTGCTGCGCTCACGAAGCGGCGCAGGAGGGAGGCGACGGCCCTCGCCAGGGAGCTGGGCTTCACCGAGTTGATCCGCGAGGCTTGATCTGAGGAGCGGCCCGCCCGTGCCTCGCCGTCTCTCGACGGTCTGACTAATTATTTGGCCTCGCGCCGCGGGCGACCCGCGCGCGTCGCTGGGACCCTCTCGGGGCGACCAGCGCGCGTCGCCAGAACTCCGCGCTGCGTTCTGCCCAGCGCCTCGCTCGCCCGTCGTCGCTCTGCCCAGCGGCAAGAGCCTTGCCCGCTATCAGCCAGCCAGCTAGCTCTCTTTGCTCCGCGCAACGGACGACCCGCGCGCGTCGCTGGGACCCTTCCGGGGCGACCTGCGCGCGTCGCGGGGGCTCCGTGCTGCGTGCTGCCCAGCGCCTCGCTCGCCCGTCGTCGCTCTGCCCAGCGGCGAGAGCCTTGCCCGCTATCAGCCAGCCAGCTAGGTCTCCTTGCCCCGCGCAGCGGACGACCCGCGCGCGTCGCTGAGACCCTTCCGGGGCGACCTGCGCGCGTCGCGGGGACTCCGCGCTGCGCTGCGCTCGCAGCCTTAGACTTTTGAGTGCGCGGGCAAAGAGGGAGCAAAAGAAGGGGGGGAAGCGGGCGCGATCCTCGCGGGGGGGGCGCGCCGACGCTGGCGTCGCGGCGCGCGGGCGACGCCGTCGGGGAACCCCGGGGAAGCACCTTGTGGCGGCCACGCTCAGCGTCACGAGTATTCAGAGGCAGTCATTTTCAAACTATTGACATTCATATACAATTACACCATGTTTTGCCATACTCGCATTCATGCACGTAGACTCGCTCGCACGCAGATTCATTTACAGTCAGACGCACTCGCGCTCAGATTCACCCGCGCTCAGTCTCCCTACGTACGCAGATCAATCGTCTTCGCTCGCATCGTGTACCACGCCATTCATGTCGGCACACCCCTAGCACGGTTCGTTGCCTCATAGGGATCAACACCGAAAAATTGAATCACAATTGCGGCACTCACACCTGCATGTGGTTGGGTCCTTCGTCAGGCTAATTTATCCAGGAAAGCCTTGAGGGTCAAACTCTGTCGTCGGCCCCCGGTTTACAACAACAGCGGCTCCCGCCTGATACTTCCTCACAATGTATTGAAGAATCGCGCTCTCGCTTCGGACTTCCTTGCAATTTACCACCAGATCGCGGCTCCCGCGTGATAAATTCCTCACAATGTATTGAAGAATCGCGCTCTCGCTTGGGACTTTCTAGCAATTTACCACCGAATCGCGCATCCCGCCTGACACTTCTACACAGTTTATTCAGACGCTGCTCCTCGACACTCAGGAATCGCGCTCCCGCTACACACTGCCTGGCGGTTCAAGCAGAATTTGTGTTTCAACGACTCGCCCGCTCGACCCGCCCGTCTGGGCTTGCCCGCCCGACCACCCCGTTAGGGACTGCAGTCGCCGCTCGCTGCCCTTCGCCCGCCTTCGATGCCCCTCGCTGCCCGTGCTGGTTCCGCGGTCGCCTTCGGTCGTTGCCCTTCGTGGCCCCGTTGCTGCCCTCAGTGGCCCCGTCGCTGCCCATTGCAGCCCCTCATTATATGCCCTGCGTGGCCCCCGAACGCAGTCGCCCGTCGTGGCCCCATACGCATGCCCTTCGTAGCCCCGCTGTCGCCCTTCGTTGCCCTCTCGCTGCCCTTCGTGGCCCCCTTGCTGCCCTGAGTGGCCCCGCTGTCGCCTATTGTAGCCCCATATACGAATGCCCTTCGTGGTCCCCGCTCGTTCGCGCCCGTCGTGGCCCCATATGCATGCCCTTCGTGGCCCCGCTGTCGCCCTTCGTGGCCCCCTCTCTGCCCTTCGTGGCCCCGTTTCTGCCCTCAGCGGCCCCGTCGCTGCTCCCTTCCTCCTTCTCCTTCCCTTCCTCCCTCTCCTCCTTCCCTTCCTCCCTCCTTCCCTCCTTCCCTCAAATCCTCCTCCTCCTCCTCCTCCTCCTCCTCCTCCTCCTCCTCCTCCTCCTCCTCCTCCACCTCCTCCTCCTCCTCCTCCTCCTCCTCCTCCCTCCTCCTCTTCCTCCTCCTCCCTCCTCTCGTCGTGGTCGTCGTCGTCGTGGGCCCGCTGTCTGTCCATCTTGGGGTAGGGTTGCCGCGGGTCGGCGTGTGCATCGCCAGCGCTGCCACTGGCCAGGCCGACGGTCCGCAGCTTGCCGGTGCCCGGTTTGCCGGCCTTTGAGACGCGCGTGTTCCACTGGCAAAGGTTCTTTTGCAGGCTTCGAATGAAGGCCTCCCTCGACGAGGCCCCCGGGGCGTTCCCACAGGTTTTCGGGGCCTCTGGAATTGCTCGGTGGTCATCGGGGCCATTCCGAGGCCCCCCAGAGGTTATAGGACGCTTCCGGGTGCCTTCCAATCCCCCCGCGCATTGTTTCCGCACCAGTCTCCGCTCGCATCCACCTGCCCCCAGTTTCCAACGTTCTTCCCCAGTCTTTTCTATTCTTTCCCTTCATCTTCATTTTCATGTCGTTCGTACTCCATTGTGCTATTCTTCAGTTCTTCGCGTCCCGCCCACTCCTCCCCAGGCCACCCCATCCCACCCCAACAATCCCCACCCTTTCCCGCTCGCGTTCCACATTTCTCCCAAATTATTCCCAGTCCCTCCTCCAGATTCCTCCGCGCGCCCCCCGCTCTTCCGCGCTCTTCCCGGCTCCTTTTCCCCACCCCTTGACGCCGCTCCTCCTCCTGAGACCTTACAGAGTGCCATTTCTAATTCCTGCGCTGCACGTGGCCTCCGCCGCCCCTTCGGCGCGCTTGATTTTTAATTCGCGGCCGGAATTGCAAATGACCGGAATTAGAC